GAGAGGGAGAAGGAGAAAGAGGTCTGAATGATTGGATATGGGCTCAAATAGGCTGCACTGATCTCAGCGTCCAAACATTTCTAACCGGCTGGAGCGGCATGCTGGGCAGCTTCCGGAAGAATGCCTGCTGCCCAGTACCCGCTCCAGTGATACTCAGGGCCCAGGGCTAGACCCAAAGATCATTGACTCTGTCTTGTCCCCTGACTTTGACTTTGACAAAATCATGTTCAAGCCGATTTAAAGGAACCATAGCCTTATTATAGAAATTCACCAGGCCTCTCTGATCATTTTTGTACTTAATGATTACATGCTATCATTCACCATGGAAAGTAACCCAATTTCCTTTTTTACTATGGGAAGGAAGCCTTATTTCCTGTTATACTAGCTTCTTAAAGATTCAGCTGAGCAAGTATCCTATTTTGTCATGTACAATGCATGCTTTTTGCCCAAATTTTTTAGGGAAAAATAAGGATGTCGATTATACATGGGTATAATTATTACAGACCATGGGTATAATAATTGGTACAATAATCCCATGTATGTATGATACGCACGAAAATGTGGGTGCACATCATACATGGCAAAATACAGCAGATTATGTTATAGGTTTGAATGTGCCCCCTCCTATCTCTGACATAGTCACACACTAAGCTGAAGTCAGCAGTTTTTTGGCTAGTTCATCAGCAATGGTAGCAGACCTTTCCAGCAAAGGTGCTGTACCACCAAAGCAATTGCGTGTGTGAGTGCCCCCAGCCAGGCTGAGCTAATTTAACATGAAGTAATCAGAGATAAGAAAAAGCCACAGGAGTTATAAAAATATACACATCAGGTATCCTTCCTGAGGAGACAGGAAGTTTATCGGTGGTAAAGAGTGTACCAAATGATAAGAAACATGAAGCAGAGAATGAAATAAAGATTTTATGAGAAGTTAAGACACACCAGAACAACTCTTTTTCTCCTACAAAAGGAAGAAAAAGCTCAACTCAGAATTCAGCAGAGTTTTGCCAAGATGGGAAGTCACTTTAACAGAGGAGACACACATTACAGAAAAGATGGATGAAGGCATCTTTCACCAAGGAGGACAAGATGCTGTGAGCCAAGGAAGAAGAGCTTTATCTGAAGAAAAAAACACACTGTGACAACCACTGAGAAAGAACATCTCCAGCGGGAAGGGAGTCTGGACGTCCATTTGGAAATACTCAAGTCAGGAATCCCTAGTGCTCCTGAGAGGGAAGACAAGCAGTTGTGAGCACAAGGTTCAACTGAGAGAGGCTTCATCTTTCATCTTCTCGGAGTCTCAGTGCCATGAGGTCAGGGGTCAGGCACTCCCCCCACCCAACAACAAACTCTTTTAGCCATTCTGGTAGGACCTCACTGTTTGAGCTGAGTATCAGGGTTAGACATAAACCCCTTTCCTTACTTCCCCATCTCGTAACGTCTTTATATTCTGCTCATTCCAGGAGTAGGACTAGGATGAGCATTTGTTCTTAGACCCAGGACAGCTATTCAGGGAGCTGGGAATGAGAACCTTGACAAAAGCCTGTGGTCTTGACTTCTACACCCAGATCAGCACCAAATAGCAATTTCCTGTTTACTCTGACCCTGTCAGACCCCCAGGGTGTTTTCAGTGATTGGTGTTAAAAAACTCATTAGCCACTAGGAAAAAATTGTATTGTATCTACCTCGCTCCAGATAGAAAAGTTAATTCCAAATAGATTTTTTTCACCCATAAAATATTGAAAGAAAATACGAGGAAATGTGGGAGACCATTTTTCTACCTATGGGTCAAGTTTCAGTAAGAATGAAGCATACAGTGATGTAAACGCTGTTAATACTTGGTTCTTTCATTTGGAGTGCCTAAGCCCAGCTTCTGCAGGAACTATGACAATCACTTCCCTGGAGAATTGTCCTTTGGCATCTTGAGCTATGTTGCTGTGAGCTCCTCCTCTCCACATCCTCCTGAAGCTAAGGCGAAGCCTACCCAAAACTACATCCTCCCTTCTTCCCCTTCTCTGTCCTAATTGTCACCTTTCACTTACAGCTTTCTCCTGAGAGTATTTCTCTACTAAATCACTTACATATAAACCTACATTTCAGCCTCTGTTTCTAGGAAACTCAATTATGATACCTGTTAACAGAATAAAAATGTAAATAAGGGTAATGTAGCAATGTCATAAAAAATTGTAAGATATTATTTATGTATCTATGCCTGTATATGTGTATGGATATATTTATCCTGAGCATGGAACTGTTTTCCCCCAAAATTCATATGTTGAAGTCCTAAACACATTATCTAAAAATGTGACTGTATTTGGAGATAAAGTCTTAAAAGAAACGATTAGGTTAAAATGAGGTCATTGGGTCGCCGGTTCCATTTCCCAGTCAGGGCACATGCCTGGGTTGGGGGCTGGGTCCTCAGTTGGGGATGTGCAAGAAGCAACCACACACTGATGTTTCTCTCCCTCTCTTTCTCTCCTTTCCCCTCTCTCTAAAAATAAACAAATAAATAAAATCTTTTTTTAAAAAAAATGAGGTCATTAGGGTGTGACTTAATCCAGTCTGATTGGGGTCCTTATAAGATGAATGCAGAGAGACACCAGGGTCACACTTGCGCAGAAGGGTCATGTAGAGACACCTTGAACAGGCAGCTGTCCAGGAAAAAAGCTGCTGAGTGACAAGTGATGTCATCCGCCATAGAACTTTTTTTTATCCCTTCTACCTTTTAGAGGAGAAAGCTGATAAAAATACACCTGGTGTCCTGGGCCCCGCTGCCTTGCCTCTAATAACTGTTGGCAACCAAAACCTGTGTTTTTTGTTTACTCATACACACGATATTTCTGACACCAGGTGTGTGGATTTTTTCCCACACCAACAAATTCGCTGACACCAGCTGGGTGCCCTGCAATTCGATTTCATTCTGGCACTAACTGGAGTTCAGGCAGACCCCGCGGGTTACAGATTCAGTCCCACAAGACGGCCTGCCCTCCACCTCACATTGCAAGCAGTCCATCACCAGGTCGCCCCCAACTTTCGCCCACCTTGGTACACAACTGGTTCCCCCTTAGGACTGATTGGTACACCAGTCCTTGGTCCACCACTTCCTCCTTAGGACTGATTAGTTGCCTAGGCCTGCTTATTAAACTCAGGGAAATCTTACTTATATTTACCAACTTATTATATAATAAAAGATATGATAAAGGATGTAGATGAACAGCCAGATGAGGAGACACACAAGGCAAGGTGTAGAAGAGTTCTGAGTGGAGGGGTTTCGGTCCCCATGGAGTTGGATGTGACACCTTCCCGGCACATTGGTGTGTTCACCAACCCGGAGGCTCCACGAACCCCAAGCTTTTGGGACCTTTATGGAGGCTTCCTCATGAAGATATGATAAATGACTGACTCCATCTTCAGCCCCTCTCCCCTGTCCAGAGGATGGGGAGTGAAGCTGAAATTTTCAAGCTTCTAATCATGATTTTGTCTTGCTGGTGCCAACTCCCCTTCCAAAGCTGTCCAAGAGCCCACCAATAGTCACCTCATTAGGACAGAAGACGTGCTACCACGCAGGAAAATTCCAAGGGATTTAGGAGCTCTGCGTCAGGATAGGTCTGCGTCAAAGACCAAATGTTAAAACAAAAGATGCTCCTCGTGCTTTTGTTACTTAAGAAATTACAAGGGTTTCAGGACCTCTGTGCCAGTGACCAAAGGTGGGGACCAATACATAATTTTTCTATTATTGCACAGAGACAGTCTGCAAGCCAAGGAAAGAGTCCTCAGGAGAAACCAAACCTACTGGCACCTTGATCTTAGACTTGGGGCCAGCAGATTAACCTACCTTGTTTAACCTACCCAAACTGACTGTGTGTGGTATTTTGTTATGGCAGCCCTAGCAAACTAAACACACACACACACACACACACACACACACACACACACTTAGCAGTTGGCAAAAGTAGGTTTACAGTTATTCATATGGGAAAGACATCATAACAATACAAGAATGAACTGTGTTTTGCATACTTGTAACTGTAAACCTACTTGTGCCCATTCCTGCATAAATAGCTTTGTCTGTTTCACACACACATGACAAAACATTCCAAAATACAATGTATACAAATAGCATCCATAAATACTCAAGAAAAAAAAAAGGGTTTTTTTAAGTAGACAAGTGACTTAAGTGGGTAATTCACAAAAGAATAAATCAAATGCCAATACATATTTAAAAAACATTCAGCCCCATTATGTCCTCCTTTTGGGCTGTATCTGCTCTACTGAACAAGACCCGTCTTCTCTGCCACCGCTCTGCATGTTATCGTCCATGCCAGCCCTCCTCCTTACGACACCCACACCAAGTGTCAGGACAGTTCTGTGCACAGTGCAGGTATTAAATAACCATTGATGATAATGTAATAGTGTTCTGAGGTGGAGAAAAAAAAGCTAGTGTTCAGATAATTCAATTTAAAAAGCTATCACAACTGTTCAGAAAATCATAAAAGAAGAACAGTAACTAGCTCTATAAGTAAGAGAAAAATGTTCATCATAATAATGAAAGAAATGCAAATCAAAGGTAGTTGGATTATTACCATAGATAGTAAGCTAATTATTAATAAGATAGGGAGCAAAGGAAATTAGACACTGAGCTTAAAAAAGTGGGGAGCATAAGCCTGCTCGCTTAGCCAGGAAGCTGTAGCAGTTACAGACTTATTCACACAATCGTGGGGACTGCCACCAAGGAGACTTAATCCTAGGAGCACAGGAAATCTCTCCAAGAGCATTGTCTACCCTCCAGTACCAGGCTGTTGGGGGGTGCAGAAGGAGGTTCTTGAGCACAGAGGCCTGTCAGTCTAACTACAGGGTGGAGTCATCAGAAGCTCATGAAAGCTTCAGAAATTGATTGATTGCTCTGAAAAAGCTTCTGACCTTTCCGAATCCCAGATACATAATCCCAGGGGAGCAAACAAGCGATCTCTCTCTCCCTCCCTCCCTCTCTGATGTGCACTCACCTTGTGCATTCGAGTACTCTCTCTCTCTCTCTCACCCAGGGGAGTCATGCAACCATGTTGGTCTAGCAGCTGTGTGGGCCCCCAGCAGAGCAGGCAGGCTCCAAAGGACTAAGAGTTAATATGAAACAAAACCTCTGGACACTGGCCTTTGTTTGGCCCTGCGAAAGACAGCTGAGCTTTTTCCTTGGCGAGAAGGAAATGGGACACTGGAAACCCAGGGGTGAGTTTTCACCCAAATAAGTCTTGCAACATGACAGTACCCTATGCATGGGCCCATAAAATGCTTTTCTCTTGATCTCGTGGAAGAGCCTGATTTTTACCAGCAACGGGGTTGCTTTTTACAGGTTTGCACAACATGTAAACCAAAACCTAGAAAGCCTTGCTACCTGCAGTGTAGGGACATGTATCTCCAGTTTGTTGGCATTGTGAATTGGTACATAGACTTTGGCCATGCATTCCTGGTCATAAACCCTAAAGAATAAGTTAAAATTTAGAAAGCATCATAAGAAAGGCAATATTTATAATCGTGGTATTTATGATGGCCCAAAATTAGAAATACCACCAAATGTCCAGTAATAAAGGAATCATCACATAAACTACAAGAATTTGCTCAAGGGAATAATATATAGACACCCACAATGGCAAATATAAAAACCAAGTATCATTATAAAGTTAACATAAATGATAAATTAGGGTATTAAACTACATATGCAGAATGATTATAGCTATGTGAGAATACATGCACATAAAGAAAGACTAGAATGAATACAGGAAAATATCATAGTTTCTGACTCGTTTTCCTCTTCCTTTTTCTCTCTTTTGAACTTTTAACATTTGGGGGTTGTACGTTTCTTGAAAAACTAAAACTTTATTGAGGAAAAGGAGACATTCACATTGTATTTAGAATAATAAAATGAGACGATGCCTACAATTTTAAAAAGGTACATCTCAATACAGGAATCCCCCAACCGAGACTTAGGTGCGTAGTCACACCGACAGCTCTCAATTCCTCAGACCCTGCTGCTGCCACCACTGCGCTCAGGACTTTACATGGACTGTCCCATTTAATCCTCTGACAACCCAGTGCAGTCAACAGGATTAACTTCTTCAATGCAACAGACGACAACATGGAGCCTTAGACCAGTAAAGCAGCCCATGCAAGCCCATAGTCAGCAGCAGCTGTCACAAAGAAGGCCAGCTGTCCCCAACGCTGCATGCCTCCAGTCACGGAGAATCATAGTTCACTGCTGAGCCAGGGACACTGCCCGGCACCCCTCACTCCTTGGCATCCGGGTGGAGCCTTCCTGCTGGAAGGCCCACAGCACATCCTAGGATCTGTCCTCTGCAGGCCAAATGCTGACCATCTATTCAGGAGGATCAGGTCAATAAATTAGTCAACAGTCTAAAACAAAGTGAGCAAGTCGCAGAAATAATGGCCCCTTTATTGTAAGAAATGGTGTTTAAAAATGACAGTACCATTCTCCACCAATCCAGCTGCCAACATTTGTAAAATTTTAGTTCCCCAAACTGAAAAGAGTGCCAGGAAATGGGCGATTTTCTATCCTCCTGTTGAAAAGTCAGCTGATGCTCCCTCTCAATGGGACAATTTATCAAAGAGTTCAAGAACTTCAGAATTCTGTAAAATCCTTGACCCAGGGTTTCCTCTGGAAATTATCACAATAAATAAATGATGTGAGTAAAGATTATAGATACAGTATTGGTTTTTAAGAGATATTTATAAGACTAATAGAAATTATCTGAATATCCAGCTATAGAGAAGTAGAGAAATTGTACTTTGGCTACACAATGAGTTACTATGCATCTATTTTAAATTATGTTAGAAAAAAATATTTTACAGCCTGGGATTATCATGATACATTATACAGTGTGACTTCATTCTTCCTATGTTTTAAAAACACATCTATATCAGGCATGAGTTTGCTTCTTGCATATAGGTGCAAGAACTGTCACATTTTAAAATTTTTCTAAATCAGATCAAGTCTGGCTTGGCACCCTGTCCTGCCTGACTGAGAGGAAGCACTGTGTCAGGGACTGTTGGTACCTCTCCCCTAAAACAACTCAGCCCCCCACCCTTCTCCGACACACATATACACACCTTACTTTGGATCTTCCTACTATCCTAGGGCTAATGTAATACCAAAAAATGGAAGAGGTACTATCTTTAGACAATAGCTGTTGCCATCAAAATATACCTTGATATTGACATGGGTGCAGTTCTGGAGGTGGGGAGAGAGATGCCCTTGTAGCACTGGATGTGGGATAGGCTTGGCTACAAAAGGTTTCTGCTGCTGATCTCAGAACAGTCCTACTGAGGGTGTGATCGCAGGGATACACCACCAGTGGCTTTGCCATTCTGGGTGTGCTGAGTTAGGGCTGGGGGAGCACAGGTCTCTGACCTTTAGAGAATCTGCACCATCCTCTTCATCAGCCTCTCTTGGAAATGTCAGCTCCCCTCTGGGAATACTCCACCCTTTATATTTAAGCTCCAATTTGCCTCTGTCCTCCCCATACGGGAAAGCTCTGCCTCAGTTCCATGACTGCCTAATCTTCCAAAGCTTTGGATAATTATTTCTCCAATGACCTCTAAGACCCAAAGAAATCTCCACCCCTCAAGTCCAATCCACACACACAAGGACACTCATACTCAAAGATGCACACAAACCCACACACCGATGACCTTAATTGTTAGAATGCAAATGTAGGCGTGTGTTTTTTTTCTCACAAGTATGTGTGTGTTAATTTTAAAAAAAAAGAATAGAAATAAAGGAGTGGAATGGGAGAAACAGGAAAAATAATTATACTTTTATTCTCATTCATCCCACTAGTGAGAAGAAATCAAGTCTGCCACATACATGTGCATGAAAAAGCCTAAAAGTATATACAGTGTCATTCACTGATGGCTGAAATTACAGAAAAATGCTCATTTTCTTCTTTATATTTGTTAAAACATTCTAAATCTCCTACCATGAATATAGGTCAATTTAAAATATAATTTATTTTTAAAATGCTAACATATATCAACTATATTTCTTTTTTTTCTAATCCCTCCTAATATGCAAATGTATTTTAAAACAAAGAATAACTAGAAAGCAATGGGAATTACTTTATTGAAGAGCACAGACCATGGTAAGAAATGGATTTGGGGAAAAAAATGAGAAAAACTCCAAAAATGTTTTTAAGTGGTAGCTTTACAGTTATCAATGTGTAACTTTCCAAGGTGATTAAGCTAATGTTAACATTGATTTTTGGATGTAAACATTTGGATGGATTGCTTTGCTGGCTTGATTTAAATCTTTTTCTGTCCCCCTATACATATTTCAAACTTGGTAACACTACAGAGGTGTATGACTGAATTACAATGAAAAGTCTTTATCGACTGAAGAAATAATGTACAGCCATTCCCCTAACTCAAAACACAATCACACAAAGGGAGGTTGGTTAAGACACGGGACCCAGTTCCACAAGAGTTGCTATTATCCTCCATGTCTGCTCTTTAAGAATCAGAGATTAGCTTGCTGCCTCTCAACAGCCCAACCACCAGAGGAATGGAGATGGCGATCATCCCACAAAAAGCCAGCATAAGAATCCCATCACCCTCCCACTTCACTTTCCATTCTAGAAACATTCTATTTCAATGCTCTTTCTGCCTTTTCACATTTTTTTCCCCATCTGGGCACCCATTCACACATTAAAATTCGTAGCTTCCTTTAGGAAATCTTCATCACAAAGCTATCATTACCCTTGGCTCTAGCACAGATAAGTGCAGATATGTGGTCCACAAGTACCCTGAGGGGCGATAGGAGGTGTTGGAGGAAAACATCTTGGGGCCATCTGATTCAGGAATGCTTCCGGTTCATTTCAAAACCCAGAGATAATTTAATACAGATGTATTTAAGATATGTCTTTTTTGTTGTTGTTATTTCTCCAATTGTTCTTAGTCACCCTGAAATCACGATCAGGTTTTTTTTTAGTACAAGAAAACAACTCCTACAGGCCCAAGGAATGAACTTATCTGCCAGTCACTGGCTCCAAGTTCCGGTCCTGCTCCCGGTCTGGGTTCTGCATGCTTTTGGTTTTCAGAGCAGGATCTCTCCACAGGACACTCAGAGGAGAATGCACGTGGGAGATACGGAGGAGTGTCTCCCAGACTTGGCTTCAACAGCTCTTCCATGCATAGCACGTCCAGAGACAGCCTTTGGTTTGCAGCTGTAGCCAAGATAAGCATGTGCGGAACATGCTTTCCCAAATTCACATTCTTCTAAATCTGAACTAATAGACTGTGACATCCCTGGAGATTATGTCTTTAATTAATTCAATGTTTTTTGAGTACTACTATATGCCAAGTATTGTCCTTCTTTGTCTTTATAACACCAATCTTGGCCATAATAAGCATACGATAAGTGTTCATTTCAATGGATGAATATTTTCCCAATTAGAATGTGAATTCTAAGAAGTCAGGGTCTTAAATCTGGCATATAACTGAATGCTTAGGAAACTTTTGTTGATTAAGTTGATCTGTTGATTGATTAATTCATGAGTGAATAAAGAAATCAATTCACACCAAACAACTTGTAGCAAACAGTGGTGGGAAGTAGTATATTTGTAGAATAGAAATATTTTGGTCTTTGGAATTAGACCTAAAGTCAAATTCCAGGCTTATCTACCCAATTTTTATTTTACCATATGTAAAAGGAAATAATAATATTTATCTAACTGAACTGTGAGGATTTATTTAATCAGTTAACTAACATTAAGTGCTTGGCAATTTTGGAACCACGTTTTAGACATTTTAATCAAGTTTTTAGATCTTTATCCTATTTTGGAAAAAATCTTTAACCATGAATCATCATGCTCTGAACTCTCAAAACACTTGTGGACGTCAGAGATTTGTTCCTGTGTCTTCTTAAATTCAATGCCCTCGAAGGCAAAAAAAAAAAAAAAAAAAAAAAAAAGGCCTCATAACCTCTGCATCCACAGCACGTGATTCACACGTGTACTTCAGTAATGCTTGTTGATGGGTGAATACATGAACTTGGTAGCTGCTGACATCTAGAATAAT